CCTGCTCCATCAGAGGTGCTGGGCAGTGGGGTTACAACTTTAAGGAAGACAGACCTTGAGTTCATGGAGCCTCTTCTAGCCCAGAGCGTCCATCCTAGACACCTGGGTGTCTTGTGGAAATGCGGATTCTGACTCAGCAATCAAGTGTGGCCCAAGATCCTGCACTGCTCACATACGCTTGGGCTATGATGCTGCTGACGGTCCACGGACCACGCTGAGTAGCAAGGGCCTAAGGAATGGAGGAAAGAAATTGATGCACAGAAGGCTAAATAATAGTAACAAAAATGGTTAACAGGTAGTACGTAAATAGCAAGCAGGCCCTGATCTAAGCACTCTATCATAATTATCTCACTTAAGCCTCACAGTAGCTTGATGAGGTTAGGTACTGGTGCATCTCATTTTATAGTTGAGGAAACTGAGGCACAAAGAGATCACATGACTTGCCCAAAGCCACACAACTTGTAAATACCAGGACTCAAACCTAGGGGTCTGACTCCAGCTTTATCCTTTTAACCAAGACACTCTACAGTGGTTCTCAACCTTCCTAATGCCGGGACCCTTTAATACAGTTCCTCATGTTGTGGTGACCCCCAATTTCATTGTTACAAATTGAACATACATAAAGCATAGTGATTAATCAGAAAAACAATATGTAATTATATATGTGTTGTTCGATGGTCTTAGGCGACCCCTGTGAAAGGGTCGTTCGACCCCCAAGGGGGTCGCGACCCACAGGTTGAGAACCGCTGCCCTAAGATGAAGTCTTCTCCTGTGGGGCCATCACATCTGCAGGGGAGTCCCAGGCCAGGGCGTTCTCCTGAAGGGTGCAGGACCGCATGTCCCTGTGAGGCCCGCTCGGACGTGCACTGGATTCTTCCAGATGGCAGCAGGCTCTTGGTTTGGTCTGAATGATACCATATGGTTCATACTTGTGTATTCACGGTCCTAACCTCCTGGGGGCAGGTGATTGCCTGGCTGTGAGAACCACCTTCTCTTCCTCTCCCCAACCCCACCCTGGCTGTCCCCAGGGCCCATCGTGTGGCCCCTGCTGGTTGTTGAGCCCAAGCCAGGATCCAGACCCTAGGCTGCCTCTGATGTTGAGCCCTGCCACTTGCATGAATGCGAGGGGACGAGGTTGGAGATGAGGTTGGGGCTGGTGCCAGGGGCAGGGGCGGGCAGGCCTGGCTGGCTGACAGCCAGCCTTATGCAGCCAAGAAACAATGAGCCACAGCCCCTCGTGGTGTTTTATGGGTTTTCATCTCATCTTGCCACCAAGTGAGGCCTGAGAGATAGTAATTATCCCTACACAAATATCGGGGCATGATTACCCAGCTGGATTTACTGCCCTCTCGCCAACCAAGCCAAGATTGGATTAGGGCACAATTAATTGATGGGCTGATCAACCCTTTAATGTGGGGCAATGTCAGGAGGGGGGCAGCAGCAAGGGACGGCTGAGGAGAGGGTGATCCGCAGGAAGATGCTGGAGGGCAGGGAAACGGGAACAAGGAGAACTGTGGGAGGGGGTGTTCAACAGGGGCTGTGCAGGCAGGACGCCAGAGGAAGGGCAGGCTCTCCTCCCCGCTCACTGAGCACAGCACCTGGGAGGGGACCCGTCAGATGTCTCTCAAGCAGCAGCCCCTCCCACTCTCTTAGTCTCCCATTGTGAATCCTAGAGCAGTGGTGCAAGGCCAAGGCTGTGCATTAGAATCCCCGGGGGAGCTTTTATCACTCCCAGTGCCCAGTGTGTGCCCCGGTCCAGCCCAATCCAAACCTCTGGGGACGGGACTCAGTTATCAGATTTCCATGTGTATTGGAGAAAGGGGGGCCACTATCCCAGAATCACCTTAGTTCCATGCTCAGCCTAACCGTAGCCCCTTTCCTTCACTAATGTGTTCATTCATTGGACAGATATTTATTAAGCACCTACTGTGTGCTAAGCACTATTCTAGACACTGAGAATGCCCCCAGTGAATGAAACAGAAAGATCCTGCCCTTACGAAGTTTACACT